TAATATAAAAAATTTCATTGCTAATATATGATAGACTTTACCTTAATAAGAAGATTGTTATGGTTGTTATTAGACTCATTATTATCATTGTTATAATCGGTAGTAGTGGCGGCTACTGGAGAAACGAGAGGTGGAGATTTATGTGCAAGAGGCTCGTCATTATTGTTATTATCATTGTTATGATCGGTAGTAGCGGCAGCCACTAAAGAAGTAAGAGGTAGAGGATTATTAGCGAGAGGATTATCATCATAATTATTGGTAGTAGCGGCGGCTACTGAAGAAACGAGAGGTAGAGGATTATCAGTGAGAGGATTATGATTGTTATTATCAGTAGTAGCGGCGATACTAGAGATAAAGAATCATCAGTGAGATGCTCGTTATTATTGTTATTATTATCGTTATGATCAGAGACTTCTGAAATTTTATTAATATTGCTACCCATTCCACTATGCTGTAAATTAAAGATAATAATTATAATAATTAATATATATTAATATATAATTATATTAATATATCTAAATTATATTTACCTTATCCAAATTTACAACCCTGATGGTGTTGTCAACCAAAGTGATGGTTGCAACGTATAATTCGTGGTTAAAATCAATAGAAGAAATACTTCTATTATTATTCCAAAGAAAATTGATGGTATTGTTTTTAATTTCTTTAGATATTGGGTGAGTATCGAGATAATTTTTGTTAAAAAAAAAATAAACCGTCAAAAATATAAATGGGAGAAAAGGTTTTTTTCTCAAAGAAACTTCAAAAATATAAATAGCAGAAAAGTTTTTTTTTTCTTTCTAAAAACGATAAATATATATTTGTATGAATATAATTATATAATTACTTTTTATAATCTTAAGTCATTATAATCATGTATATGGTATAAAGTAAATGTAGATATAATGACAAATGTAAGTAAAATGACGAATTGAACATATTACACGAAACAGAATTTTTTGCTAAGTAAGTCTAATTTTACTTACTAAGTAAAGTTGTTTAATATATCATCTTTACTTACCTCCAAATTTTGATACAATACAAATAATCTTTTATTAATAACTTTTTATTAGCACTTGGAAAATGTGTACCAGGTTGGGTCCAGATGATGGTCCAGAAAATATCAAAATTTTTATGGTTTTTTTCTTTTTACTAGGACTTTATTTTTTAATTATAGTAATAATATAAAGACAATTTACAATGCATATCTAATGCATAGTATAATACAAATAGACTTGAATTTCGACATTATAATAATTTATTTCTTTTTAACCGTTTG